TTAAAAAAAAAAACAAAAAGGGCCTGGGATATAGCTCAGTGGTAAAATACCCTTGGGTTCAATCCCCAGTACCTGCCCCCGCCCCAAAAAAAATGCTCTTAAAGACTTCAAGTAAAATTTCACTTTTGAGCCTTGGTATCTGGATTTCGTAGTTTGTTTTTCCATGTGTTGAGTGGTGATATCTGATAACTCCTTGAAACACACACACACAAGCATGTGTATGATAATGGGTAAACCATACTTCTTTTCATCCAGACCACACAACTTCTACAACTTCTACACTTCCATCATAAACGAGTAGGGACTCACATATAGGACAGTCACCTTAGTGGGGAAAAAAAAAAATATATATGTATACATACACACACACACACACACACACACACACACACACTTATTTAACTTAACAACCTGGCATGCTTTGATGAAGAAGAACCCATGTGGCAAAATTATATAGGTGACATATAGCTACTATGTGAGAATCATATAGGTGACATATAGCTACTATGTGAGAATATAATCAAAGTAGAGTCCCTGAACCATGAATATTTAAGATTCTTGGCTTTACCAAGGAACCATCCATGTAGTAATGCTATTTGGATTCATACACTGCAGTTGAGGCTTAGAGTTGTATGATATTTTATATTTTTGTTTGAGAAAGCCCAGTTTGAGGCCTAGAAGAAGTTTAAATCTTGGCAGAGACAGTTTGAATTCCAAAACATTTCTTCAATGCTTAGTGAGTGAAGCATCTTTAGTCTGTGTGCCCTAACACAGTACTTTGCATATTGTAAGTGGTCATTATGGCTGTATTGAGTTGTTCATGTGTATTCTTTTACATTCTGTTTTTTGTTACTGGGTTTTGTCCAGAACTTATTTAGAAAATGGTTTCGAATAATCTAATTCAGGAATCAAGTTTAATTTACTTCTTAAATCCACAGAAGGAAAATTTATAATTGTTCCACATTCTTATCAGTTTTGGAGGAAGAAAAGCTATTTTGACCAAGAACTGATGTTAGAATTATTCTATATACAACCTAAGGGCTTTTATTTCAGAGTAGAACCAAAACATGACTTAACTGCTTACAACTAAAAAGACTTGGAAAAGTGGTATGTCCTATATCCATACTCATGGATTAAAGTCAAAATTTTAAAAGTACAGAAACTCTTGAGTCACTTTTCTTGTATTAGAAAGTAGCAATAAAGTCTTCTGATTAAACCAGTGCTATGTAAAATCTTAGAAATTTTTCAGTGACCATGTGTTTTATAGTTAGGCTATTTTCAGCAAAGCTGTTTCTGTCATTGTTAAACACTTGATTAAATCATCTGATTCAAATATGAGGACGTCTGTTCTTCATTGTAATATATCTTTTACCTGTAGAAATACTCTCTGTTTTATATTTAGTTTAAACATACTTTTCTGACAAACTACAATTATGTAAAACTGGATTTATTTCCCTACATTAAGATTCACTTAAAGAATTTTCAGTGTGTTGCTGGAATAATTGACATTGCATATAAATCTTATATTTGTAAGATAATTTAGGTACTTGTAATGTAAACTTGAGATTACTATTATCTGACATGACTGGAATATAAATATAGTAGTTTTCTTCTAGACCAAGTTACTGTTGGTTACTTTGTTCTGTGTTCTTCCATAACGAAGAGAAATGTGTTTGACTTTGCAGATTTGTTGTATACTTTGAGCTCTTCCTTGCTAGTGCCTGACAAGTAGTTCAGAAGAATGATATGTGGTAGAATTGTTGTAATAATAAACACACATACAATGAGTATATTAGTGTCTGCACTCATATCCTAATGGCAAAATTCCATCAACATTACTTATGCCTACAGATGTGAAGTATTTGAGGCAAAAGAAACCCATAGTGAAGTTACAAGGAAAATAGAAGGGACATTATTAGTTGAATCCTCATTCTGTAATCTCTGGTAGAAGGTGTCATTGAATGGTAGAGGTGTCTAACACATGTAGGCCACAATGCTTAATGAAGCCAGAATTGATATTAACAAGGATTGCCCATGATTTGAGCTTTAAGTCTTCACTTTCAGTTTAACTCAGCAGTTATTTGAACAAATAACTCTGTTCCACACTAGTTGCTGTGCTGGATACATTAACATAGCCCTACCCTTCAGGAGTTTATAGCCTAGTGAAAGGAACAGATATATAAATACATACACACACACACACACACACACACACACAAAAGCACACAAATGTACAAAAGAAGCTATGGGAACAGAGTAAAAATTGGGAGTTAGAAGAGTGAAAATACTGGGTCTTCAAGGATGAATAGGGGTTCAAAGAAAGGAAGATGTTTAAGGAAATCCCTGTTTGGAATTTGTGGCCTAGGAAATTTTGAAATTAACCAGCAAGGTTATAAACAAAGTGAAAATATAAATTTATGTGGCCAAAAAAGCAGATTAAGTTGTTGATATTTCTATTTATTATTAAGTGTGGGTTTTCCTACTTCCTAATTTTTTCAGAAGTTTCTTGACTCTCTTAAATCTCTTAGAGATTTCCCCTGAAATAAAATTAGGAATCAGTACACAGGGTAGAAGATTCCACCTGACTTTTTGTGACCCTGAAGGTAATAGCAAAAGTCAACATTCTCAATTGGGGAGGGTATGGCTTCTGCGTGGATTAGAAGATCTAATGACCTAGCATGCATTTGTTATAAAGGAAAACTTTCTGAAAGATAAATCCATCTTTTACTAGTATACTTATAGTGTACTAGTACATATTAATTTAATCCACATTAGCATAATACTTTAGTTACAGGTTTTTTGTTTACCTGTTTGTTTTTAATGGTCTTAACTTTCTAATGAAGTTTATTTAGAAAGGGGAGGGTTGTTTTTACTGTTCAGGTTTTCTACTGTTTCCCCCCTAATGCTCATGAGTATTAGTCACCCATAAAATAGAAACTGCTTCTCATCTGCTGTGAACCTTCCAATATCCCAACATCATGGGATCCCTGATTTGTGAGGTGCAGTAAAACTATGTCACATGAAAAGAACCAGACCCAGAACCAAAGATAACAGTGCTATGTAGACTCTCTGTGGCCGGTGAAGATTTTGTTTTACAAGATGTGTCCGTGTTTGGTTAGTAAAGCCAAAGCAGAAGGTGAATGAAAGAACATTACTTTAAAGGCATTAAAGAACACACCAAAGGAAAGCATTTTTTTAGCGCAGACATTCCAAACTGGGTAGAAGCACAGAATCAGCCCAGAGCCAGCCAAGCATGGCCTGTTTCCCATCTATGGATGCCAGTTACATAGGCAACGAAATTGCTGTTCCGACACTTACTGCTGTAAAAATACTGCCCCTACTAGAAACCTCCATTCCCCTGCTTTTTCTTTTTCCTTCCTTCTTCTCCCATCTTTTTCTTTCCTCATTCATTTCCTTTCTTCTATCCTTCCTTTTTTCCTTTTGAGAGTCCACATGAACCTTGGTCTAAAGAAGACTTTTCCAATCTTATAGCCAAACCTAGAAATCAATCAAATATTAAAATGATTTTTTTTACTACTTCATTTCTTTCTCCTGGAAGGCTGGAAGGGGCACATATTTTAGAGAAAACAGAATCAAGAAAATGACTGGCTAACCCTTCGAGCCTTGTTAGATCACAGGTTCTTCCTTAGCAAAATAGGTTACTGAACTGCACACTTCTTAGTTGACTTGTAGGTCTGAAATTTCACGGTTATAGCTTCCTAACTGTTAAAGTATCTTTCAGTCTTCCAAAGGGTGAGACTGCATGTGCCTGCTGCTTACCACCAAGTCCTAGTCATCAGTATCGTCCAACTTGTAAAAGCTTGAACAAAATAAATGGTGCAGTTAATCAAGAAATACTGTATTTAAACAAAGTTTCTAAAACAGGCATTCATACCAAATATATGATTAGATGCCTTCATCTTTACATTAAGATTATTATTCTAGTCATTTGAGAAAGACTTCTTGAAAAGAATGGAGTCTGAAGAAATTTTCTTAGAATTTTGCTCTATTCCAAAATGCCCAAAAGAGATTTGTGTAACTCGTCACTACCATGTTTCCATGGCTTTTGCTAGTAGAAGAGAGGACCTGTCAGCCTTCCAAGAAAAACACATTTCCCTTTCCTTTTGACAGGAATAAGTGAAGGGAGGGAAGGAAGCAATAACGGAGAGAAACAGTGAGCCCAAGCCCCACCAAAGCAGACAGCCTGACTATTTAAACTTTACCAGGCATCATTTAAACTAACGATAACATGCCTTCTTTTTAAAATTTACACAAATATTAGCCCGAATCCTTGTTAAATGATTACAAGCTACCATTTATGATTTGGAGTGGAAAGGTATTTGGGGTAAAATATAAAACAAATGCTAAATATCTTGGGCAGATTGAATAGAAATATTTGTTAGAAACATAGACAGAATGGGGTAAATCTAAAATGAACTAATGCACCATGCTAATGAGAATCAAAGGGTTCCAAATGAAAATGTGCATTTAAGTGATATTTGATGTTGGCTGTAATGACCTCTAACTCTCCTCTTAAAATTTGATTAGCTTGCTATTTTTCCACTAAAGAAACTTAAAAGAAGAAAATTCCTTTATTGAATATAATCAGCTTGCTCTCTGTCTTATCTGTGTGTACACACAAAGTTCAGACATGAAATCTAACATAGAAATTTTCTTCTCCCTGATCTTTCTCACAGAATTAAAAGGAAAGTAGAAAATAGATGTTTTACTATATAAAGGCAGTGTTGCATTCCTTGTTACCTGATATATCATCTTTTCAGTTGAAAATTTTCAAAGAATAGCATTAACCAGGATTGTGCAATTTTAGGCAAAATTTCACAACTGTGCTGCTAAAGTCCCCATTAAATAAAAGAGGACTGCTGAAGAGATGAGTCCTTAGAGTGGAAAGCCATCAGAATGTGACTAGGTATCATTAGGCTGTAAAGAGTAAATTTGTAAACATGTTCTTCCTATTCTTCACTTCACTTTTGGTTTCTTACCTCCAGGAGAGATGTAGAAACAGTTGAGTTGAGCTTCATGCACCAATGTACCCTTGAACTTTACCTCTGTTTCGGCAGACAGGTGACTGGAGAGCGGCTGATATGCAGGTATAGAGGGCTGAACAAATGCTCGGAGCATTGCAAATTTCCAGATGTGTACTAATAGGTTAATTTTAAAACTAAACAAATATCCTGCTTTTGATCTTTTCTCCTTGTAATTTTTTAAAACTCAGAAACTATTCCTGAAGGGACATTTTGGAATCACAAAAGTTTACAGGGTCCATACAATGGCTGCAAATTTAGACTACTTTTAAGTTTTAGAATTCTAAAAGCACACCTTTCTTGTTTCTTGTCTTTTCCTACCTTCCCTGCTGTGCTCACTGCCAGTGTCTGGACAGGCCTCTCACCCAGTGGCTTTACAGGAAACCTTGGATTGAAATGTGAAGTTAATGGTTTCTGTCAGCCTGTCAGTTCATCACCTCCAGAAGGCATGATGAACTCTGGTTTTTGTATATCACCACGAGCTGTTCTGATATGCCCTCTTGTGTAGAAGAGTGATAGGTTTGTACAGAGGTTGGTAGACCTTGGGCAGAAAACTTCAGTTGGAATGTGCACTTTAATGGAATTCACAGCCCCTTTCCCAGTGGAATGCCTCTCAAGTTGCAAAACTATTTTAGGTAGGAAAAAAAAATTTAGAACCAGTTCTAAATTTTATCTTGGTGCCACCTTTCAGTGGCCAGGACAGTTGATAAACCTATTTTTCAATCCACCCCACCCCACCGACGCGCACACGAGCTATTTAAACTTTATGTTCGAACTAAATCCTAACTGGGATGAGAAAATTATTTCAAAATGATCCCATTTTAAAACCATGTTGCTTTAAAGATAAATGTTCAGGTCCTAAAGCAGTCTCCCTGGTGTCTTAAATAATTACTACAAACCCATTCTTTTTTTCACTCTGAGTTGACATTTGAAAGATGTTTTTCTAGCATTTTCTCTCCATAAATCTGTATTCCAGTTATCTCATGGTAGTGTCAATGTCAAGTCAAGCTGCTTTTCTGTTGTATCAACAGTTTCCTTGGCATCCTACCCTTGTGAAAATCTAGTTCCTTATGTCTAATGCCATAAGTGTCTAATATTGAGAAGAATGACACCCAAAATGTTTCTACTAATGGAGTTAACAACACCGATAGCTGGCTTTTCCTCTGCCATTGGGCCTTCTGTTTCTTGTTTTATACTGTGTTTTTCTCCCTTTCTATCACCTTTGTCCTTTGATAGTTTTGGGAAACTCAGTATCCAAGGAAAGAATGTTTTCCCTGGAGCCAAAAAAAGAACAGAGCAGGCTTCTAGGATTGTAACTAAAATTAAAGCCACCAAAACACATAAACTAATTCCAATTTATTTAGTGGTTGAACATCAATAATCCAATCTGCTTTTACCTACAAGAATAGGAGAGTAGGAAGGTTGGTGTGTAGGAATCTTTGTAGGGAATCAGGAGCAGGGAATGAGTGCTGTGGACTGGAAACAACCTTGAATGTGAAGTTTCCAGATAAGCATTTAAAGATCCTGAGATGAAAGAATTTTATCTTGATACAAAAACTATCATAAAGAACACATCACATTGTGGCACATACCTATAATCCCAGTGGCTCAGGAGGCTGAGGCAGGAGGATCATAAGTTCAAAGTGAGACTCAGCAATTCAGCGAGACCCTGTCTCTAAATAAAATATAGAAGGGCTGAGAATATAGCTCACTTAAGCACCCCTGGGTTCAATTCCCAGTACCAAAGGGGGGTGGGGGAAGGGAACACAGCAACTTCAGAACTCAGATGTTCTTGTTTTCCTTAAAAGATTGTCAGTGTCCTAAGGAGGAACACATTGATGTTCAACCACTTAATAAGTTGGAATTAGTTTTGTGTTTTGGTGGCTTTAATTTTAGTCTGATTTTTATCTAAAAGGTTAACATGCATCAAGAAAAAGCTGGGATTTTGTGTCCACTTTTATCCCCTTCAAATATAGGTGGATAAAATAAAGATTCCTCATACACTGAGAATTACACAAAGTTTAAAACCTCATTGCCAACTCTTGGCAAGTTAATAATTCAGATTCGTAAGGTTCCTCTTTAAGATCCCTGCTTAAAATAGCACTCACAAAACATTTTCATAACTTTTGCTCTCTGAGTTTTTACTGTCAAGAACAGAAGTTTCATACCTTGGCATTGACCAGGAAAGGAGGGGGGGAAACGGTAGAGTTAAAATATCCCAGCTGTTTTAATGACAAAATAATATTAATATAAATAAATGTTTTGAATTTTTTTATTTTAAAAATGTTTTCCTTTAAAATTTTTATTTTGTTGGCCTTTATTGTTCTATCATAATATTGTTTCTGTTTTCAATGAAGATTTCAAAAATGCATGTATAGTTAATACATGATTAATACCACCAGATTCTCAACTAGATATTTATAAATGTATTTTGGAACTGTTTTAACCTTTACTATAAAGATGGTGGAGATAGGCATATACTAAATTTACTATATAACTCATTTTGAAAAATTATTGAAGGAGTCTAGTGACTATATTATACATTCTTTCAGTACTAAATGATTAAATTATAGTCATATCTAATCTTTCAACAGTTTTAAATTTACTGTACAGACATTTTAGATTTGTTATTAAGTTTTATTTTTTCAAGTGCCCTATCCTAAAGCTCATAAAGCCAGTTTTTTAGTTAACATATTTCTGGGAGAAGGAGAAGGGAGGGAAGTTTCTAGGCATAATCTGAGCATCAGGTTTCTGAATATTTAAAAATAAAAATGAAATGTGTTTATGAAATATGCAAATGGAGGACAGAAACAATGATGTCTTGAAGCCAGGAAGTTTAGAAATCCTAATTTCATTTTCAATCTATATTCATTTGTGTAAGAAGCATTTACCAAATGCCTATTGTGTTAAGGTGCTATATTTCCAAGGAAATAACTTTATTTAGACTGTGTATGTGTGTGTGAGTGTGTGTGTGTGCGCGTGCGCGCAGGAACAGGACTACTACACATGGCTGTATGGACTTAAAGAATTCCAATAAACAAAATAAATCCCTCTAGTGATTTCCCTTTGACTTTCATGAGATTTCCCCTGATCTCTGCACCTTTCTTTTACTTTTTCTTCTCTAGCTTCTTCTACATATGAAAGAAAACATACAAACCTTGACCTTCTGAGTTTGGCTTATTTTGCTTAACTTAATGGTCTCAAGTTCCATTCATTTTCCTGCAAATGACATGATTACATTTTATTTATGGCTGAATAAAATTCTGTTGTGCACATATAACACATTTTCTTTATCCTTTCATCTATTGATGGACACCTAGGCTGGTTCCATAGTTTGGCTATTGTGAATTGTGCTGCTAGAAACTTGGGTACGCATATGTCCCTATGTTATGATGACTTTAATTCTTTAGAATAAATACCAAGGAGTGATATAGCTAGGTTTTATGGTGATTCCATGCCTTGTCTTTTTGAGAAACCTCCATACTGATTTGCAAGTGGTTATACTAATTTACCATCCCACCAACAATGTAAAAATGTTTCTTTTTCTCCACTTCCTCTCCAGCATTTATTATTGTTTGTATTCTTGATGACGGCCATTCTGACTGATATATGAAATGAAATCCCAGTGTAGTTTTGATTTTCATTTCCCTACTTTCTAAAAATGTTGCACATTTTTTCATATATTTATTGGCCATTTTCTTTTGAGAAGTGTCTGTTTAGTTCATTTGCCCATTTATTAATTGGGTTATTTTTGGTATAGTTTTTTGAACTCTTTATATATTCTAGATATTAATCCTTTGTCAGAAAAGTAGCTAGCAAAGATTGTTCTCCCATTCTGTAGGCTCTTTCTTCACATTCCTAATTGTTTCCTTTGCTGTGCAGAAGGTTTTTAATTTGATGTCGTCCCACTTACTAATTTTTGGCATTATTTCCCGAGCTTTAGGGATCCTATTGAGAAAGTTGTTGACTGTGCCTATGTCCTAATGTTGACCCTAGATTTTCTTCTAGGAGCTTTGTAGTTTCTGATCTAATTCCAAGGTTTGTTCCATTTTGAGTTGGTTTTTGTGCAGGGTGAGAAATAGGGTCTAGTTTCATTCTTCTACATAAGGATAACCAGTTTTTCCAGCACCATTTTTTTAAACAGTCTGTGTTTTCTTCAATGTATGTTTTTGGCACCTTTGTCAAGGATCTGATGACTGTAGATGTGTAGATTTGTCTCTGTCTTCTATTCTGTTCCATTGGTCTATGTGTCTGTTTTTATGCCAGTATCATGCATTTTTTGTTACTGTAGCTCTATAGTATCATTTGTAGTCAGGTATTGTGATGACTTCTAGTGCTAGATTTTTAAGCTTCACTCCAATATTGGCTTCATTTGTTTCATAATTATTGAATAAATTAATTTAATACATAAATTATTAGGTATTTTAAGATGAAAAGGAAATTTTTTTTCTATTTTGTGGTTTTGAGGATGCTCATACTTTGTTCAATGTGTTTTTTGCAGTGTCCATTTATGGAATTTGGTTTTACGATAAGGAAGAATGCCAAAGAATTGCAGAGCTTATGAAAAAGTAAGTGTTGAAAAGCTAAATATTTTTCAGGATCTAATGCTTTTGTTGTATTTCTAAGTGTCTATAACTGTGCCATAATCTTAACAGGATGCATCTCTTATAGCAATCATTTCACAGTGATCAAGAAAACATTTATTGCTACTTAATGAATGAAAAGTAGACATAGGAAATGATTTGCTACATTTCACTAGATTTATCATCTAGAGTGACTCAACTCATTTTGTTCTGCCTATGTGAAATACATGAAATATAAGTTGTTCCAGATGGCAGTTTTCCTTAATATTTTCATTTGTAAATTTGCATTTTTTTTTTGCTTTGAAAAGCTATCAGTAAAAAGAACATTCAGAGCCATCCTAAAAGGCTGCTCCAGATCCTCTAACATTTTCCATTTCCTTTCTTTCCTAAATACTTGCTTTAACTATATGTCCATGTTTGTAGGAGCTCTGAATATCCTCCCATGTCTCAAGTGTCAAACACCAAGTACTTAAGATAGTCTTCCTGTTCTATCTCTGGAAAACGGTTTACATTA